TATGTGATGAATATGGTCATATTTGGATGCCCAATTAAAGTTGGGTCGGTGACGATATTAATTATTAGGAAAAAGTGACGTGCATAAATTATATTCCAACAACATACCTTTTACATGCATAAAATCAGACAGAATTTCGACTTACCAAAAGCGAATACGTAAAGTAGAAACGAGAAACGTATGAATATGAGTTTTTGGACGAGGCAAGAGTTCGACTCTTCTCCTTAAAACGATAATGGCCCAAACGGGTGCTAACGATTTTTCGGTATTCGTCTCCCAACATATAACGACGTGACCATATCACGCAATAGGTGCATTCCAAATTACGTAGACCAACGAACCTACTCATGTTTTTGAATCCTCTTTACATGAATCTCAACTCCAAATAAATGCAGAACTATTTTGCAGTGATTGATTATACATTGATATGATAATGCAATCATGAAGTGAATGAATAAATGAAAACAAACACATGGGGTCTATATATAGTTGTTGAAAAGTTGTGTCTCAAAAGGCACAACCCTACAAAACCTTCTAGTTTCATTTTGATTTTGAAGATTCATCATTGTAGCAATTAGCATCGCCATACGTTGGATCTGTCACGTATAGTTTTTTGTATAAAGAATTCTACCCTCATTGAACTCTCGAACCTTAGTTCATCTCATGTTATAGTAGGTGTGATCTCTTACTAGCTGAATCTTTCCTTCCTTGTAATATTTTTCGTGATTGTGCTTTGGACATTTCTCTCATTATGTAATAATACTAGTTGAATCAGTTCAGTTAGCGGCGTACTTTAGTTGGCCATTGTGCAAATTTTGAACATCCTTCTAGGCGTTGAAGTAGCAAAAAATATTCCATTCACGAATTCATTACATTAAAATGTGTCGTCATTAGGTACCAAATTCTTGATATATCTGAACTCTAATTCTAGAAATAAGTTGGAAATTTTTGCAAGTCTACAAGACAGAACATGTTTGAAAGCCAACATCTTTTTTCCCAAAAGTGAGTCTTTCCTATCTGTCGAGGGGCTCAACTTTTACTTCCGCAGCAATCCTAGCCTATAGAAATTCATACACACTTTCGAAGTTTTCAACAATACGATAAGTCTCAAAATTATAATTACATAATATAGATAGCACTATAACTTAAATCTTTATCGGACAAAGTCATTTTCTGACTTTTGCAAAAAATAAAGTCATTTACAAACTTGAAATTAAAGTTAAAAAAAAAAGGTCTTCTAAAAAATGGAAAAAAAATAAAAAAGTTAATAAACTAAAGTCAAATAATTTTTTTTTTAATAGAAAAAAATATTAATAAAGCACGCCTAGACTTACTGTCAAGGCAAAGCGCTCTGCCCGCGCCTTGTGAACAANTAAAGTCAAATAATTTTTTTTAAAAAAAGAAAAAAATAAAAATTTAATAAAGCGTGCTTATACTAATAGTTGACCGCTAAATTCACGCTTACTGCTAGGCAAAGTGTTATGCCAGCCCCTCGTGCCTGGGCGTGTTTTTTAGAGCACTGCTATTTTGGCATGTATTCATTGGCTCAAAATGTATTAAATATTTGGGGTATAGAATATAATTGTCACACATCACTTAAATTAACCTTCACTTTTTTTTGTGCGCACATGTTGAATGAGAAATCGTTATCTCAATTTTGTGATATACAGATTATGCAAATCTGTCTACTACAAAGCTACATAAAGTGGGAGATAGAGTACTCATCAATTATCTCGAAAGTGTTGAAAATTGTCGGACTGCACATTAGCTTCTTCCCATGTCTGTTTATTGTAGCTTTGGAAGCCATTGCTGGATGTATTGGGATCGAAGCCGAATCTTTTGAAAACCAGGTGAGACGTTGCTCTTTCAATAGCAATAACACACATGAAATTATTATTATTATTATTATTATTATTATTATTTTTCGCTTTTCGTGAATTTCAATTCAATGGTTTGTTTTCTTCTCATGAATTTGACCAACAGGAAAAGCATTTGAGACTAAATTGTAAAAAGCCAAACCACGAGGCTGTCATCCTAGGTTTAGCTGCTGCTGCTGCTGCCCTTCTCACTATAGCTCAGGTCATTGCGAATTCGTTCAGAAATAGCAATACTTGTACTGGAGATAGAGCATCGAGAAGCATATCTTCTTGAGCAATTATCAATTGCATACTGAGATTTGACATGGTATGGACATAATTTTATTCATGTCTTGTATACTTGTTTGTACTTGACCAACATGGTTGTAGTACAATTTACTTTACTTGGCTACACAATAGTGTACAATATTCATCATGCGACTATGAGTTTAATTTAATTGACAATATATCCATTATAATGAGCTTATGATATGGTATAAATGGTTGTAGGATCGTATTATAAGCTGGCTTGTCGATGCTGGCATTTTGTGCTATATATGAAAAGAGAAGATATCTCAATATGTTTGGCCCCCTTTTTCATAGAAACTCTTTTTTTTTTCAACCAATATCTCCATTAAATGTAAATCGAAAGTATTTCCTTATTTTTTAAGCACATATTCTCCAAAAAATCAATATTCTAAAATGACTTTAAGGGATGAAATTTGATCAATATTTAATGTCACGTCATGTTAATTTTCACGTTTGTGTTAATGTGGGTCCTATTTTTTTTTTTATTATGTATTTATTGCTGCATTTACATATTGGTCAGTGAAACTNTAAAGTCAAATAATTTTTTTTTAAAAAAGAAAAAAATTAAAAATTAATAAAGCATGCTTATACTAACAGTTGACTGCTTAATTTGCGCTTACTGCTAGGCAAAGTGTTATGCCAGCCCCTCGTGCCTAGGCATGTTTTTTAGAGCACTGCTATTTTTGCATGTAGTCATTGGCTCAAAATGTATTAAATATTTGGGTATAGAATATAATTGTCACACATCACTTAAATTAACCTTCTCTTTTTTTTGTGCGCACATGTTGAATGAGAAATCGTTATCTCAATTTTGTGATATACAGATTATGCAAATCTGTCTACTACAAAGCGACATAAAGTGGGAGATAGAGTACTCATCAATTATCTCGAAAGTGTTGAAAATTGTCGGACTGCACTTTAGCTTCTTCCCATGTCTGTTTATTGTAGCTTTGGAAGCCATTGCTGGATGTCATGGGATCGAAGCCGAATCGTTTCAAAACCAGGTGAGACGTTGCTCTTTCAATAGCAATAACACACATGAAATTATTATTATTATTATGATTTTTCGCTTTTCGTGAATTTCAATTCAATGGTTTGTTTTCTTCTCATGAATTTGACCAACAGGAAAAGCATTTGAGACTAAAGTGTAAAAAGCCAAACCATGAGGCTGTCATCCTAGGTTTAGCTGCTGCTGCCCTTCTCACTATAGCTCAGGTCATTGCGAATTCGTTCAGAAATAGCAATACTTGTACTGGAGATAGAGCATCGAGAAGCATATCCTCTTGAGCAATTATCAATTGCATACTGCGATTTGACATGGTATGGACATAATTTTATTCATGTCTTGTATACTTGTTTGTACTTGACCAACACGGTTGTAGTACAATTTACTTGGCTACACAATAGTGTACAATATTCATCATGCGACTATGAGTTTAATTTAATTGACAATATATCCATTATAATGAGCTTATGATATGGTATAAATGGTTGTAGGATCATATTATAAGCTGGCTTGTCGATGCTGGCATTTTGTGCTATATATGCTAAAGTGCAAACATCGAGTGAAAATGGACAGTCAAGAATGATATCAACACTTAAATCTTGCTCTCGGGACTTGTTTGAGGCCATAAAGAGCCTTGTAGAGGCGACAAACATGTGAAGGCAGAAAACCATCAATGATCTCCGGATGTTGAGTCATATAAACTTCTTCGCTAAGTTTTCCATGCAAGAAAGCATTATTAACCTTCAATTTATAAGCAACCCAACCTTAACACAATGTGAATGGTTGCTGGTTTAACTACCGGGCTAAATGCGTCGTGGTAGTCGACCCCAAGACATTAGTGAAAGCCCTTAGCCACCATACAGGCCATATACCTTTCAATGCTAGAATCAGAATGATGCTTGATTTGGAATACCAATTTGCACCCGACGACATTGTGCTTAGCCCGGAGGATCAAAGCTTTCGCCTCAAGAGACAGACTCACCTTTGCAAAAGATTGTGGATTTGT